AGAAGAAGAAGAAGAAGAAGAAGAAGAAGAAGAAGAAGAAGAAGAAGAAGAAGAAGAAGAAGAAGAAGAAGAAGAAAAGACAGAAACAACCGAGGGAAAGTAAAGAAGTACGACCTACCAGTGGCGCCCTCCAACCATCTGCAAAGATTAGAGGCGATACTAGGGAGTAACGTACACGGAAAAGAAGGCAGAAAGATATAAGGACGATAAATGTTTGACTGGAGGAAAAAAAGGAGCAAACCACCCCAGAGCACCCGCTAACCACTCACTCGAGGCATCTTGCCAACTGCCGTACAGAAAAGGAGCAAACCACACCAGAGTACCCTACCGGCCACCTACTCACTCGTAGCAACTTGCCAACAGGAATATAAAGAAAAGGAGCAAACCACATCAGAGCACCTACCAACCACCGACTCGAAGCAATTTGCAAACTGCCATATATAGAAAAGGACCCACTCGAGGCAACCTGGCAGCTGTCATATTATGTCGCAGGAACCATGGTAATAGAAAAGTGTCGCTGAATGCAGATGAAAGAAGTAGACCACTTCAGAGCATCAGCAAACTAAAGGAACCAAATGGGAGAACGATGGAGGCGGGAACCACAGACTACGACAAAAACCGCACATAGAGATCTAAGCGTCCATCTTTCCTCTCCCCCACCCTCCTAAAAAACTTTTTTTTTTTTAACTCCGCCGATTTCCCCTTCCCTTTCTGTGATGAGGGAGCAACCATATTACGAGTCGTAAGCAGTCGTTTTGTTTTGTTTGGTTAATTTTTTGTTTTCGATCCTGCCTGTCAGGGCAAACTCCGCAGTAGATGGATACGTATTACAACGTCCCAGCAGAAAGACACAGAAACTCAACAAAAATCCTCCCCACACGAGAATCGAACTTATGTCTTCTGCGTCCGACACAGAAGCACCTAACAGCTACATCACAGTCGCTGGTCTTCCAATTTTTATCTAGACAGGCGATAACATTAAACCTCCGAAGACTAGGCTAAACGCATAGGGATGTTGGAGTCACATATTAGTGGCATAACTAGAAGACAATCTGTGGGGCTTCATTTTCCCCGCCTGTCAAGGGAACAACAGAACCACTCTACTAAAAAGGGGAGGCTAAAGCAAAACCAAACTTGAAGAAAATCGACAACTTTGTAAGGATCTAAATACATTATCTTTCAACAGTCGGAAACCTTGCAAAGTAATTTGATTTTAAAAAGAGTTTTACAACATTTGCAACACTAAGGTCATACAAGTGCTGAAGATAATTAGATAACAAACACAAAAAGGAGGAGAGATTTAATAAACAAGACAGATGTTTGATTATGAAGAAGGAGCAAACCACACCAGAGCACCCGCCAACCACCCACAGAACCTTGCCAAGGCCATTTTCTGAGACGACATGAGTGAGACAAAAGTGAATAATCAATTCTGTGCTGTTTCCCCAATCATTTTGCAGCTGATTTGAAGCACACCAGTGAGAGACGACATAAGGGAAAACTTTAACTCCCTAGGTCTGACCAAACATTTTATCCATAATAGTATTTCTGACTTACATCGAACTGGAAAAGCTTTATCTTGTGACTACATTCAGACTTATTGCAGCACACATGCGGTTTCATTGAATTACGAAAAGAAAAAAACGTCAATGGCGTACATGCCGCTCAACCTGTTTAATTAAGTCTAGGGTCTTAGTTTTAGTAGAGGTTTTACGGCACTCGCAACTGCATAAGGTCATATGAGCGCCAGGGGATTAGAGGTGTTACAAGAGAGTAACAAACATAAAAAAGAAAAAGGGAGGATAAGGACGATAGATGTTTGATAGGAAAGAAGAAGCAAACCACACCAGAGCACTCACCAACCACCCACAGTCTAGGGTCTGGGTTTGAGTAAAGACAAGAGAAGCATACCAACACAACAACGGTCATTCAGTGCAAGGAAGTAAGAGCAAGACAGGCAGATAAAAACAACAGATGGAAAGAGAAAAAAAAGTAGGATCAACCTGTGGCGCCCTCCAGCCACCCGCGTTTAAATTTCTAAGACAAAAGTTTAGAACATCTCGTATTTAGTTGTGTGTAACCTTAAAGGACTACGTGCATGTGAGACGACTGTGTATGACTGACTTGACTATGCAGTCGTTGTGTTACACACCAGAGACATAGTTCTCAGATGACGAAGTGGACAAAGCCTAAAGTAATGGCTTATGGAATGCTGCTGACACTCATTGCGTAGCGTCTACGGCTTCTGTCAGGCTTGTACAGTTACAGTTATAGCCAAGAAAATGAGTGTTCATGCGCGTGCGTGCGTGTATGTGTATGTGTGAGTGTGTGTGTGTGAGTGTGTGTGTGTGT